AAAAGTGACCGATATGATCCTTCCTCAAAATTAGACTATCGGTGCCATCCGATCGGCAAACGCAGACGTAGGGAAAACATTACAGTTAAATTTACCGACCTTCCTTCCACATGGTCGTTACCATCATCACCTTGATAAATTAACCATTTTCACGTAGAACGCACATAGAATACTATTCTATGGAATACATCCTACACGGCATTATTGGTGCTTTTTGATTATCTATTCCGTACTGCCAGTTTTTGGTCGGGAGAGACGGGGACTTGCTGCGTAAAGTCCTACCAAAAACACATACATTACAACCAGTATGAATAAACAAAGTGATTACTAGTATCGTTTTTGTTCTCTCGTTTTCGTCATCATTAATCGCTTTTTGCGTCATTCCCAAATTGGCCGCAATTGCCCGTTAGCCGCCTATGAGGTATACTCGAAGCTTTCTTTCGCCTACGACTTCGTCCGTAACGCCGTTACCTATATTTGCAGAGTACGGATGACTGCGTTTACCTTTATGTTGCTGTTATACAAAGCAAAGAATAACAACCCTCCAAAAAACAGCAACAATCTGAGCCAAATATAGTTCGACCACAATTTTTCCATATTTATCCACCCTGTTTTCTATCCTTTCCAATGGCATTGAAACTGCCGGCATTGCTACACGTACCATCCGAAGAGCTGCTGAGAAATTCATCGCGCACGTGGGTACTCCTACACCCAGCACAGGATGACAGACGGATAGATATGTGATGGCATAGATAACGCAACAACGGACGTATATATATATATATATATATATATATATATATATATAGCTCGATGCCTTTGTCGTAACAGTAAATTCGATCAGGTTCTTCTGCGGTTCTTTTGGTAACTTCTGCATAACTTCGCGAGAGGAGCATCAATCGTATCGCCAGTCGCTAACAGCCGCGGCCCAGTTATAATAGATTGCTATAAAGGATTAGACATCTTCTCGGCGGTCATGATGACCCATAGCGTCCGGTCTTTGTGCCATAAATCATACGTTAGAAAGCGGCGGACAGTCAACGAATGTATCTGCTGATAGATCAATGAACGGAGGGGATCTAGTAAATTGTAACACCATCTAGATCGAAGGCAAAAGATAGTTGCCTCGCACGAATGATGTAAGGTGCTTCTGTTGCCGATGATGACGACGTTGTTGTCATCGTGTTTGCGTTTGGGAACCGCAGATTTACACAATGTTATGCTAATGTTATAGCTATAATAGCATGCATTGATATGACTCACTAGTCGTTAGGCTGAAATTATGTAACGACATGATTTTCTAGTAATTGCGCCAAATTACTGTATGTAGACGATTGCTGCCTCCTTGTTTGAAGAAATGTCTTCCACGAGCAGTACGTAACGACCGCAGGATGACATGCCGATGCAATCCGGGACGCGTATGGTCACATATCCGGGATGCAGGCTCAATTGAACTCGTTACATTTTACGTTTACATCGCGTGGACAGATACCGGTATACCACAGAGTATTTATGTTAGACAAACGCCCTGATTCACCTGCTGTCTGCTGGTATTAAAGAGTAACCCGTTTGTTTGCATAGAACGATTCTGCCAACCCACAGGTATCGGCCGATGATAGGACGCGAGCATTTATATAAATAGCCTTCAATATTTGCACTACTTAGTCTCCTTAATTCATTCGCAGTAGTCTATAGTAATGCCCTCCAAGTGTTTTTATCCGTGAACAAGTTTAATTCGCGCTATAGAATCGCCTTATCGTTCCGAGTTTCGGATTTTTCTTCCGTAACAACACTGTTTTAGCTATGTACAGGTGCAGAAATGGCTAGAAATAGAAGGTTGTATTGTTCGACTTTGCTCGTGCACTCGGTACGCAAACGAAATCGCGTACGCTGCATAGACGAGCAAACTTTGTCTCAGGACAAGTATATACTGTCTGTAGCCATCTAATAGTGTTTCCTTTTGTGATTTTCTTAAGACGGTTGTGTGATAATGTGACCCATTATTTTTTCGTGATAACTCCATTACTTACAAGTACTGTATCATCAAGTAAGCTTGCTTTTCGCATCGCTTCGGTTAAACGTGCAAGTTACATACAGTGAACGATAGGCGTACGTAGTTGAACATACCGGGATTTTTTAGGTAATTAGTTGCTTGTAACGCGAAGACTGGGGCAACTACAAAAGCAAGCCGTATGAGAACGCCTCTTGTATAATGCGTAGAATATTGCAGAATTGTATAGACGGTGACGACAATGCGAAAACAGGTAACACTGTTTCGTTGTTGCTTCGTAGTTTACGCTCTCAGGGGCTTATCGAATGGCCTATATTGTCTGTCACTTTTTTCGCGGCATTTAGGCGTTCCTCCGGAGGTTACTTTCTGTTGCTCACTGGCGTACATTAACCTCGTTTGGTGATAGTTTGTTAAAGCTGTGCAATCCAATAGCACGTACGGGAATCGTTTGTGAAGATCTTTGTCCGTCGGGCACGCAGACGTACTTTTCATACGCAGAGATCATAACATGCAGACGGCAAGGAGCGTCAATAATCAGAAAGTCAATCAACTATAGAATAATTCGAATAATAACACGAACAGTTTACAAACTGGACTCCGGCGTAGAACTGTTGACCTTCGGTGACGTGGATAGCTGCTTTTCAATGAGGTAAAAGCAAACAAATACATAGCAAAAAGATAGTAGCATGTTGTTTTGAGGTGCAGAGAGCCATTACGTCGGAAAATTGAATGAACGGCTTCGTCGGTCGCTTTTCAACCACTTGAAATGATTAAGTGAGACTCTCACCGCCAGTGCGTCGTCTTAGCTTCTACATGTGTGTGAAAACGATGTCCCAATGGGAGTTCGTAACCAGTATGTTTTAGACTGCTCAAATTCACCGTCCTTTTGCCGGATTTGAATAATTAAAGGACTTTGTATGGCTTATGAAGTTCCCTAAAAATTATGGTGTTGAAATTGACTGTGTTGCAATCTCAAAACATACACAAAATGTTTGCTAAAATACAATTTTATGTATGCTGATGTCTATTTTAGCCGGTCTCATTCGACAGTGATAGATATTAAATAAGGATATATGATGTTTAGCTAGATGCTCGACTAGTGATTTATGTAGGTACATAAAAAAAAAGGCCATGTAAGAAAATCTGTGCTGAACTTTTAGTGTTAGAAAGTTTTCAAAAAAAGCTTAGGTCTTTTAGAAGAACACGCTCACGGGCAATGACAAACAATTAAGGTTCTTTATGATGTTTTCAATCGATTCTGTTTCAAAAACGTTGAGTATGCTTTTCTCATCGCGAAAATTTGGCAATCTATCTCTATTCAAGCTTAACCTTTTGACTAGCAATAAAATCGGCACATTTTTAAGCGCTCACAGATCCGTCGATTTACAAAAGTTGTCATTGTAACACTGAATAGTCTTCAGTCTGATACGAACTGCAGACTTTCTGTTGTCGGCCTTCTAACAGCTTATGTAATCGGTCGCTGCTACCCCGGTTCTATTTATGCCTCAGTCTGCCGCACGTACTATTAAGAGCTTGTCAGAAACCACTTCAGCTGCTAATATGTGAAGTTTCTGTGAAGTTATCATTTCATGCTGAGTCTGTGCATGTGCTAACTGAATATTCTTGAGTTGACTACGGATCGTCTACGAACGCAACCCTTCCTTATGATCTATATCTCCGGCAATCTATTCCATTCTACAGCATTGCATGGCTGTAGTACATTTAGGGTGGTTGTTTTTACAGATTCGTTTGCCTGATGAGTACCCATCTGAAGCTGTTTACCGATAAGAGCACACTTTTCCAATCTATAAACCATAACCCACGTATTTCTGTCTACGACACAATGATAAGTAAAGAATGTTAACTTTAAGTGACAGACCCTCGAGTAACCTTGGTAAACAGGTGAATGCATCGACAAAAACTATACGACTTTACACTGAATCAAGCACCTGTAGATTACTCAACATGTATGCCATATCTGGGGTTTGATAATTTTGGGATAAAATACTCATAATAAATAAAATAATAATAACTAATATTCGTCTAATAAATTGGAATTCGAGCTTTCTTAAAGTATCAAGGCAACACTTCCAAAAGGAATAAAGACGTCTAATTTTTAACTACTCGTACTACTAAAAAGGCTGTTGCTATCGTGCCCTCAAGGAAATCTGCTTGATTGGTAATATAAATGCTAATGCTTGATTGGGAAAGCGAGTACCCGATTTGCGCGGCAGTTTGTCTTCATGGATTAGATTTTACCGCTGGAAGTGGATTTATACTCGGTAGTACGAGCCTGACAGGCTCGAAGGTCTCACGGCTGCGTCCAACAAAAAACAAGTTAATTTACGTTTCCACTTATCAGATAAGTAACAATATCGATCGTAGACGAAACCGATTTGTATATGACTACTCGAAGCTAGATGCCTCACCCTGCTGAGACCATCGGTTACGGTTTACTCACGCGATAATTCCAGTACGATTTAAAGTACCTCCCGCCACGTTTACCCATCTTTAAGCTGGATAGTTAAGCAGAACCAACAACACGTCTTTGTGCTACAATGGAAAGCTCGATGCGTACAATGTTCTGTCTGCAAGAAAAGCTGGTAAGCGAACAATAATAATCGTTTGCTGGCATTCTACAGTTCAACCCAGGTATAATAATTCTTCCAATAAGATCGATAGTACTGGGCGTTTCATTGGGATCGATAGTATTGGGAAATTGGGCGTTTTCATTTAATTAGCAACTGAACTAGAAAAAGTTAGCACGATGCAACGACTCGAACGTAAGACGAGCTATTTGAACCATGGGCACGGATTGTGCGAGCTTCTTTATTTGCCCGATGTACAACCATATTGTCCTTTAGAAATATGAAAAAATCGTCATTCTTCAATGATAATTACGCTGCCACAGCATGTGTATTGTATATATCAATGACTGCAGCTGATGTTGTTGAATGTTGATGAAATATATCGTTTTTCAATCACTTACACATTCTGTGACACCATTAATTTCCCTCCAACCGTCGCCATCAGACCAAGCAGAGAAAAGCTATCAATAACAACAAGTCGATAGTTAAAATCAGCAAACTACACAATTCAGTGTTCACGACTCCCTACAAACCGTACACGCACACACATTTAGACCAATCGAGGACAAGTTTAACTTATAGATAAGTTACGCCAATCGTAATAAATAATCTAAAACTTGTACGATCACGACAGCATCAGCATAACATCGACAAACAAAAAAAAACCATCACCGCTTGTCGCACTGGTCGTTCTTGACCCTTCTCGCCTGGATACTCCAGACACGACTCGAACACTTCGTTATACTTCACCTACGGCTGTCGCGTTAACAGCACCCACGATGATGAGGAGATCATCAATAAGCTATACCACAGTGTTGCTTCTATGCAAATATCGGCAATGTAAATTCTCGTTTTTCTTAAATTTGTCCACACGAAACACGTTAATTGATATCATTCAGCGGTTGAATAGAGAGGATTCAGCCACCAATGACGTCGCAACGCATTTGCTTGCCAATAGAGATGGCGAAACGACGTGATTATGGTGTAGCGGTTCTGGACGACATGGATTTTGTCGTGTGCGAGTTCTATCGTTTGCGGCGACTCTTGGCTGTTTTACCGTCCACGGACAATTAGACCTACTGGGTTATACAAATAGTAACACTGATACAGATATGTACGTGTTCTTTGCGTAGCGATATGTATAGTATACCATCTTTAATCATGGCCGCCACCACCATTCCAGTCGCTAGCCAGCGTTTTTTTACGTTAGTACTATTTCTTATCACTACGGTCGTACTTGTTGATGCCGCTATACGATAAGATAAATATATAAAGCGACGAGTGGCTGTTGTTGAAATCTGTGGTCGTTACTGAGCGTTGTTATTTGACAAATGACAACTCATTTTTTGTGTTATTTTCGAGGTTTTGGTCATCAGTTGGATTGCCATCGGGCCACACACGTCGTACTAGTAGTACAATCACTAGTATTATATAAAAATATCTATGAAAGTCATATTGGCGAGGTAGTTTTGTATAGCTTTGTCGGCTGTCGGCCCGATTACGCCAAAAGAGAAAAACACCAACCTTAAAGGAAAGCGTTGAACCACGCGCTGAATAGCACAAGCACCAGGGTAGCAATCGGGTTGTCGCTGTCGTCGACTGGCGCCACCACTGCTATTGTTGTTGTTATTGTTGCTACTGCTGCCGCTGCTGTTGTTGTTGTCGTCGTGACTGTCATAAGCCTCCCTCCCGTACCAATTGCATCTGCGGCAGTATGAAATCAGATCAGCTTATCTGATCTGATTTCATACTTATTTTTCGTGACGTTATGTAACCAATCATCATCACCATCATCATCGTCATCATTATCATGACTATCAGCGGTACGGGCGCCGGCTGCATCATCATCTGCAGCAGCAGCAGCAGCGCCGCGCAGGCGTTAGGCGATGCCTGCTCCGCGCTATTCGACGGACGGCCACGGACAAAGAAACGCGAGAACACGACGACGACGACGACGACGACAAGTAACGTTGCATGTTCACATTGAGACGGTCCGTCGGCCAGCCAATGGTTGACCGCCGCGGACACGCTGCTGTGCTGCCGACGGTAATATGTAAATAATTATACGAAGTATCATATTTGCTGCTATTTCGTCGTCGTTATTGTTTTCACTGTCTTTATGGACACTTGTGCGTATGCGTTTAGTTGGTTATTGTTGTCACTGTTGCTGCCACTGTGGATCTTGTCTAACGGATCATATCTGCTATACGCTAATCATTATACTTGCCATTATCACAGATACCCATCATTATTGTTAGTCCGTCTCGATATACGACCCTAGCTGCCCACTAGACAAGTTCACACAATGGCAATTAGTAACTGTAAAACTCCGTGCAAAAATAAAAACACAGCGACGGATAACATACCGACACGCTGGTGTCATTGTAACAACAGATTTTGTGGCCTGTTAGATGTACTCTTTGTATCATACATTACTGGGTCTACAACGATGTGTGAACGATAACACAGACCCATGTATCACGCAACCGCAGAAATGGTCTCATCTACAATACAGGTGACGTTATTCAAGTCCGCAACGCTTCCCCCCTTCAACGAGTCGTAAAGACTTTGGACTGGCGCAGCGAAAAATGGAACCACAGTATAGTCTCCTCCGACGACGACAACAACAACAACAACAGACCTTTATGAGGGTTAACATTCGAAAAAGTTAACTAAACAAATGATAAGTTCTAGATAGTGCCAGTTTAAGCAGTGATACAACTTATTTCGCTTTGTTCTAGCAGTGTACCGAGCATTGTTTTCCGGGTTTTTTTTCTCTTTTCTGCTCCGTCTCTTATCTGACCCACCAGCTGTGAAAGCCCTATGCGTATGCATCGTGCAAGACACGATTTCAGCGAAGGATACTCGTATGTGTAGATCTTCATGTTGGCTTCAGCGCGGTACTTCTCTAGGATAGCAGTGATGATCAAAGATACTAAGCAGAAATGAAAATAAGTTTCACTCAGAAGATCAACTCAGATGGCGTAGCTTGTGGCTCAGGACACTGCTTGAATAGCGCTCAAAGTATCTCAAGAATGTCTCAAATACATCTTTCGTAATCATTCCTCCTACGTTTCTATTTCGAAGCACAAACTAACAATACACCCTTAAGCTTGCAATAATGTAAATGTCTTGAAACTGAATGAAACCACGATCTTTCTATAGCTATTACTGGGTACATACAGAAAATAATCCAGTCACCGTTGGTCTGATGGGCTAATGTAGTGTCCCATCTTGTTCGCCCACAATAATGTCTTCCAACAAAGAACAGCCGGTACAATTTGCCTTGCGGTCCAATCGGGCTATAGTTATTTACTAGGACGCAAGCACCATATCGTCTTCCCCCGGAAGTTGCTTTCCCCATTATTTACCATTTGCGTATCTACTTAGGGGTTAGGTGACCCTCAGAAATCAATGAGGTGCTAGGATGAACAAAGAATCTCCTGTGTGATTATTGTTGCCTGTAGGAAGGCCGTAGTTGACAACACTAACTGAACAACAAGCCATCCAAATAGGGACGAGTAAACACTTCTGTAAATAGAAGAAACAGATCTTTCTGTTGTGAAAGGGTATCCCTCGACTTGCACCGAAAACGAGGTCGAATAATCAAAGAGTTCCTATTATAATCTCTGGTGCCAAACTCTGTCCGTCCAATCCAGTGTATCCGGAATGAGTCATAACCCTCAGAATGCACCGAATATGCATATGGACAAGATGCATTTCTATTTGACGTTCTGCTTTGTATTTGGGACTGAGGAAGGTATCCATTTAGTGAATCCTGCAGTAGCAGAAAACACTGGCAAAAGTCCCATACTATCATGGCAACCGCCTAAAAATAGGACTTGCTGTCCGATAAACATAATTTTCACATTAATCTTCTTAAAAAAGTTCTGTTTCCACTCGGTCAGCGCTATGATTGTCTATACAGAATTGGTATACTAAGGAAGTGGTTCACCTAATTAACCCAAATTATGAATAAGAGAAATAATCTCTTGCTTTATCTGAGCTTGGGGTCATTCTGAAGTCAGCGAGTCTCAGAGGATCGAACGCACAGCCGTTATGCGCGGTTGCCGCGCATGTATGTACATCAATTCTCACACTATAATTGACAATGAATCTTATAGAAGCGGCACTGTAACGCTGACATTGACCTCCTCTACATGATTGACAATGCTTTCTGTAGACTGCCTAATAACAGGTCGAGGTCTTCTGTGGATTGTACTAATTATATTAATTAACTGCAAGCTCTTCATAAACGTTATATTCAGAGCAAAGCGTACTGCTTCATCGTACCTCGCTGAGGTTCCTAGTTATATGGTGATTAATAAAATAAGGGAACATTGTTAAATCAACTATCAAGGCAATGATGTAAATGGTTGCGCTGTGGACGATATTTACACAAGTTAATCCATAACACGGTCTATGGGCAATTTTTCGGTAGGTATACTTGGTAATCGCAAGGTGGCAATACATAAATGCCCCCTACGTTCGTACTATTCAGATTGTGATAATGTTATTAGCACTGTTTTCCCTCAACAAAAGAAACGCATAAATATGGTCATAAAGTCAATTTCGATTTGAAATGCGAACAAAGCCTGCCACAAAATAACGGAGGCATATATATGGAGTATTTTCACTGGATTGTTCCTCAGACAGCTGCCGACTAATGTGTTGTAATAAGTTTTTAGTCAATGGAGACTGCTATATGTATCAGAGTCTCGTAATAGCAATACTACAAATGAATAGGTGGATGGGGCAAATAGTCGGCGGGTTGAATCGGAAAATGTCAAGAGTGTCATTTATGGTACGAACATAGAACAAAAGTATTAAGGCAGACACAACGTTACTAAAATCGTATTGTCAACATATTCGGCCGAGCTTCGTAAGACGTATTTGCCGTTGGCCGCATATATACCGCTTACTGAATAGAAATTCGGTGCTATTTCAAGCGTTATGGACGGCGAAAATTATTAGCGGTAGAAAGATGCAAAACTGACTCATAATTTTCGGTGCTACGCAGCCCCGAAGTCAGCCAGCTGACTAGAAACTCCGTGGCCACCAAATAAGAGTCACCAGCCAAATCTAGATCGTCTACTATTGAAACCATAACATCTAGAGGGGCTGAGTGATGCTGGACGCATAGCTCACCATATCGCGAAGTAAGCGATCCTTGTCTGGACATCGAAGGCTGTTCTGTTACGCATAGCACAATATCTGCCATCGGTGGAATTACCGCTGCCATGCTTTTGCCAATCGTCCCTGCTTGCTTCAGGATCCGGCCAAAAACAACCGATAAGTTTACCACTATAATTACTAGCTAGCGATTTACCCTGAGGCATGACACCTGTGCGCAGCTAAAGTCAGCTTCACAAAAAACATGGATGTTTCATGCACCAATTAATCATTAATGTAACGTACACAAAAAAATACGGAGCTACTTTTGTTTCTTAATGCAAAACGTGAAAGACGTCTCAAGTGCTATACAGATCGATATTTTGAATAGAAGCGATTTTACCAACAGACAAAGTTATCCAATAAAAAAGAATTATTTATTGTAAAAATTGAGTTTAGTGTTTGTTATTCATAAATAATAATATCGTCTTTGTAATGCTAAAGCGAGCCCACAGAGTATCTCGTTGATAAATGAGATTTGCGATGAATTTTTCTGTAACTTTCTTTCGTTAACCACCATTTATCTAAGCTTGTTGTTTGGGAGAAACGGATCATATCCGTGTCAGCTTTCGTACATTGTAGAAGCCGTTGCACTATTAGAAGGTCCTATACACGTGAAAAATAACCGTTATGTAACTGTGAGCAGGTTTCCGCCTGTCGGCTTAGCAAAAATCGCAGATTTACCCTCTTGAGCCCTATGAAAAAAGCGAGCAAAAACTGAAACGGGGGTGAATCGCTTCAGTAAACAGCCCAGATATCATCGGCCAAATTACAATTAAACAGATTCAAGATAGATTTTACCGATTGTTGCTAAACATCAT